GGGGGTGCGGGGAGGGAGTCCCACCCCCCTCAGGAGAGGAAAGCGCTGAGGACTAGAGTGGTTGAAGGAACATGATCGACACAGAGGAGCTTTCTGAGAGAAAGAGTAATAGATCTCGGAAAGCATAATGATTTCCTGAATTATTATCTCACTGGTTCCCCCCCTCACTTCAAGTAGATCAGACCATATCCTATGGCCTATGTGAAAACACCAACGGAGTGCTGTGGATCATGTTCTTCCCATTTTACAAAGAACAGTGATCTCGGTCAAAGAATTGTTTGGCCAACATTCTGTTTGGTGTTATGAACTTCCCCCCAGATGTCCATTACTCGTTCAATTATTCGTTCAACAAATACTTACTGAGCACCTATTATGTACAAGTCCCAGTATTAATCTGAGAATTCAGCAATAAACAATATGAAGCTCATGTTCTCAGGGAGATGACATTCTAATAGGATGGTGACAGACACCAAACAAATAAGCAGACACATAGGATTTACTCTAGCTTGGAGATAAGATATCTTAGAGCCAGAGGGACCCTCTAAATGCATAGAGATGTGAAGAGAGAAGGAATTTTTCTTTCCAGTAAGGGCTAAATAAACCCCATCTGGCATATTTCTTGGTACCCAGGATAAATGTAATTTGGGGCGATTCTTTACATATAGAAACGTAATAGTCAAGTCTTGTTTTCTTTCTCAAAAACGCAAGGCTGTCAGCTCCCTGGGAGGCTTCAAGGAAGAGCTGTAACCTCCAGTCCAGGGCCGGCAGGTGTTTTCCCAACCTGGCACAGACCGCCTGGTGCACACACGGGTTAACGTGGCGTCGCCAGAGCTCAGAGCCCTGCATAAACAGTGTGCGTCAGGCGTTCTAAGCATCCTTCATCTTCCCTGTCTCCCCGTCCTGGGCTGTCAATCAGCTGTCACTTGCCCGCACATCAGCAGCATGTGCACATCACCAGGCTGTCAGCAAAGCAGCTGATGAGACTCCGCTCCAAACTGTCAATCATCTTTGTTTCCCTTCTCTGCTCGGGAAATATTTTGGCTCACGGAAACAAAGGAACCTGGACAACAATGGCTTAGAGTCAGGCGTTCACTCCTGTGCACGGGTATCAGTAAGATCTTAAAAGGATACTGATCGTGCCTTACCCTCCAATGGCGTCGGGGTGGGATGGTGGGCAAAGGGAAGATCGAGCCCCTGCTGTATTAGTACAGGCTTCAAAACTGTAATTCTAGTTCCCTGAGCAGACTCTGATGGATTCACAAAAAATAGAAATAAAAAAAATAAATAAAGGAAAAAAAAAAGGAAAAAGCACAGGAACATAAAACAATGATAACTTGAAGTTATCTGAGCTTATGCCTCAAAAGAAAATAAGAAGGCTCAGGAGGATGGACGACTGCACGGCTCGAAATTATTCACCATTGATCAGGCAGGCTTTTGGGGAGAGAGTAATTGTTGGATTGCTGAGTTCATTTATCTCCCGGGACTTCGGAAACAGCAGCTTCTCTGCACCGGACTCTTTTACTCTCCAGGGCGTGAGGCTGCCTGGGGGCACCCACACACAGGAAAGCGAGTTAACTCTTCAGGACCCCACGAGGTGGGCTCACCAGTGCTTATGACAGGAGTCAGTAAGTTGAATGACTCTGAAACAGCCCGCTGTCTGGCAGACCCACAGCCCCCCTCACCCAAAACACTTACTGGAAATGCCCATGCCCTTAAAAGCCCACAGCAAAGAAGTCTAAAGAGATGCTCATGGCAATGAGTTCCAATTGGGCAGCGAGTTCAAGTTGTCCTGCCGTCCCCAGTTTGCCATTGGGCAAAATCACCATGCATATGTTAGCGTAATTAATCAGCCCGTCACAGAATAAGTCCAAATACCATTAAGTTGTCCAAACTCCTCTAAAGTTAAAAAAAAAAAAAAAAAAAAAAAAAAAAAACGCTCTAGCAGCCTCAAAATACATATAGCAACAATCAGACCTTTTCATCATGTTTATCATGAGCCTTATTATCTAACAATTGCCCAGTGCTCTGGATTGACTTGTTCAGACATACGGTGGTTGGTTCCATCGTCTCCGTCTTTGTGACATTCGGGATGTCTTATCCTCTGACAGAGCCTTTCATACGTGCAACGCTGATTTCTGAAAACACATCTCTTTCTGATCTAACCAGACGTTAATTGCTTCTGTGCTGATGTATCTTTGCCTCTTGGTCTTATAGCACAACTAGCAAATCTGATCTCTGACAAGTTAGCTGAACCTAATCAGGACAGATCAGCTGTTACCCAAGGTGCCACAGGCAGTAATTTGAGGATCTTTACAGAGTTATCACTCTCTGGAAAGACAAGGAACTATAATTCTGTCAACACTAATCCCAAACTGTATGCTCAAAGCCGCTGTGGCCTCCCCTGCCCCTAAGAAAAGATAGCACTTGTCAAATAAATACCGGAGATAATTGATAAGAAGAAATTAGAAGGATGTGGCTGATACAGTGACTGAAGATTTCTTTTTTTAAAGGAACCTTCAGAAGCAGAACACTGGGTCTCAAGTGCCAGCTGTCAAGGATAAAGGAGGGTCACAGGAAAGAAATGGATGGAAACTCCTCAATCCAGCTCCCACTTATCATTGGGTGATTTGGTTCGTATTTGTCTCGCTCGCTAAACAGGCAGGTGCCCAAACATTGTAAGCTTCGAAGGAAAGCTCTCACAGCCGACTCTGCCTGCCACCCGGCGACAATGCCTTGATCGGAAGCAAGAGCCTCGTCAGGAGCGGAGAGGATACTGTCGGCCTGTCAGCCTTGTGCTATTCTTTGACGACCCCTGTGGTTTTCTTACAGGCGCAAAAAAAAAAAAAAAAAAAAAAAAAAAAAAAAAAAAGGAATATTAGAAAAATAAACTGCTTTCTTACTGTATCGCTTTGGTCCATCTTCCAAACAAAATGAAAGGGTTAAGGTGGCGTCATCTTCAAAAAACTCAGTGGCAAATGCATCCCACCAGAGGTTGTCGCTATCCTGCAAAGAGACGGATCATTTATTTAACAGGCAAGAACGGAAAATATCTCAAAAGAGGAAAAGGAAAAAGAAAGAAAAACCCAGTCACCATTCGCTTGTTACTTAGCATATGTGTGTGGGTGTTCTAGAAGGCGGGTGGGCGAGCGTGTGGTCACTCTTCAAATTAATTGCCTCAAATGGGGACCAAATTCCAATTCGATAAATGAGTTAATGCAAACTGGATGAGAATTAATTCTTGAGGACGTGTTTGGGGAGATTTCATAAATGTACTTTGGAACACAATGTGACATTTTTTAACAAAAGGGTTTACATTCCACGTAAAACGCATTCAACTTCTTTTTGTCTCTCCCTGTCTCTCTTTGCTCTTCTAAGAATTTGATTTTACAAACGGAAACCACCATATCACAAGTAGCTTAAGGGGAGTACATTTTTAGAGATAATTAACTCAAAAAGGGGTTGGTGCGACTGGTGGCCCTGCCCTGTGCAAATATGCCCAAGAGATACGTGTTTGCCACATGGGTCTATCCAGATGATACAGAGGGATACGCAGCGGCAGAAACACCCATCACATGCATGTGGATGGTTCTTGAGAGTTGTTTTAAGATTACGGGCAGTCTCGTTGCCTTGTTATGAACATGATTATTAAAAATAGAGCAGTCCAGCAGAATGCAAACTATCCATGTGAACTGTTTATCTTGGGTTGAGCCTTTCTCTTGCTCATCCAGAAAACACTTGAACATTGGCCCAGTTGAAGGCAGTTAAAATCGTTGTTAATCATGATGGGGCAGGGGGCTCCTATAACTGTGAATTAGGCAGAGTGTCGTATTCAAAAGGGGAAATCATACCTGGCCTCGTGCTCTATGTCTTACACCATGTGCCGTAAATACTTTTTTTTTAATTCATTTTTGAGAGAGACAAAGAGAGCACAAGTGGGGGAGGGGCAGAGAGAGAGAGAGAGAGGGAG